TGTAATTAATGCAGCACAGTCTAATTATAAACAACTCTGTACAGTGGCTACCAAGAAGCAAGCCTGTACCTGATGTTCTTCTAAGTTGGCAGGGCTACTTTAAAATGATGACTAGATCATGTGACATTTACTATAAATCAGGGTGCTTTTCCTTGATTATCTCAGGCATTAGATACCATGAGGGAAAGAAAAATGAATTACAGTAATATAGTAATCTTACTGAGGTGTTTTTTTTTTTTTTTTTTTTTTTCCAGGGCGTATTTCTTTATTGTGAATCCTTCTAGTCTTTTTTTCTTAGGAAAGGATTTATCTTAATTTTTATGGCATGTTGTTTTAAGGAAAGGAGGAGAAATGTTGAGGTAAGACAGCTTTTCTAATAATAGTTGGACTGATTTCTAAGAGATGAAAGAACCAAAGGTTTGGGAAAATTTCATTGTAGTAGTATAGTTAGTAGGAAAGAGAAAAAAAGTCCTATGGCCCAAAAATAGTAAGAAGGGTAATAGGGATAGAAAAATAAAGTGGCTACCGTAGCCACATGTGCTGTAAGTGGTCTCATGTACAGGGTAGAAGCAGGATAGACACTGTACGTGGTGCCTGTTGGATTTGTGGGAGAATGGCTAACAACCAAGAGTAGATTTAGTTTATATAGGTTTCATAGTTGGGTCTCAGAGATTCAGGATAAAGATGCTATGAGGATTGATTTCATGTCATTGCAACTTAATTATTGTAGGATAGTGGTACTAATTCTGAAAAATGGGACTCAGGTTGTGACTAGCTTAAATGAAGTAAAATGTTTTAATTGAGGCACTTATTTTTTTGTTCCTATTTATAAGTACACAGTTAAAATTTTAAATGGACACTTAAAAGAGGTTGTACTTTTTTAAGAAAAAAAAGTGCAACAATCCAAATACAGGACTTTCACTGTGATTGTGGGACACATATATTTTCTTAACTTGGAGATAACTAGCATTTTTCACTGCATAAGTGATTTTGTTCTTTGCCAGGTATCCCCAAGAGAGGGACAAATCAAAGACAAACTTGTTAAAGGACTTTGTTTCTAGCCCATGAACCTGTTCTGATCTTTTCTGTTTGTTGACCTAACTAGACTTGGAAAATAAGTCAAAAATTGATCTTGGAGATCAACTAGGATTTGATATATGTGAAATTTTAGTCCAGTTTCTGAAAGAATATGATTTAGAGGCAAAACTCTTGCTTTCCTGTCCTCTAACAGTGTGTTTGCTTTAATTTTCTATTGTTTAACTTTCTTATTTCACCAATTTCTACTATGTTCTTCACTCACGCTTCTACTTAAGTTGCTGTTTTCTAACTTGGTTTTGGTGAGAAGTTATATGCTATTTATTTTAAATCTTTTTGTATTGAAACTTACACAATAAATTTGTGACATTTTGATGTACTTTCATTATTTCAGATATTTTCTAAATTCTTTGTGCTTTCTTTGGTTAGTATTATTTGTATCTTTTGTAACCTTAGTTGTTGCCATGTACAAATTATATGCCGTATTTGTGTTACATTATGATTTATGGTAAACTTGGAGATTTCTGACTTAAGAATCAAACCAGCACCTTTTTTTCTAAATAAGTTTAAAGTACGATCTTCATGAACTACCTGAAATAAAAGTAGTTTCTCCTGGTTTGATTTGCTTAACTTGCTATGGTAGTATACACCAAAAAAAAGTGTGATTCTAGTATACAGTCAAGTGTAGCACATGGTTTGATGGTCTCGTTTCTGAAAGATTAAGATTCTACATAACTATTAATCTAATGGGTACTAAATAATAAAAACTTAGTTACTTAGATTTTGGTGGGCACCTAAGCCTTTGTCAGGAAATTGGATGTTAGTGAAGTACAGAGAAGAGGTAGTCTAGAGTCAGACTGTACCTTAAATAGGACATGGATGAAGAATCAAAGTTTACATGAATTCAGGGGTTTGATTCCCAGCACCAAAAAAAAAGAAAAGAAGAAAGTTCTGAAGGATTTGAACTCAGATGGGAATGTTCTTTTATTAAGCTGAGATGCTACATAGACTTAGTTAGAAATGTTGAATAAAAATATACAGAACATAGCCTATTGTTGTGTATATTCAGTCCCATGTAGAATGAAATACACTGGCAAATGCTAAAGGAAACATAATCCTTTTTTTTTTTTTTTTGTATTTTAGGGAAGGGTTTATAGGGTGTTCAGGGTCTCACTACTAGATCGGACTAATAGTGATCCTCCTGTTTACAGTCTCCCAAGAGCTGGGATTATAGGTGCGCCACCACACTCAGTCTCAGTGCTTCCAGGAGGCAGGGCCAGCACAGCAGAAAACAATCTTCCCATGTGAGGTTAAAAAAAAAAAAAAATCAGAAAAAGCCATTTTGACTTTTTGTGTGTGTGTGTGTGGCTGGCTCAGCTGGGCTGGCACAGCCTGTGGTACCTGGGGTCGAACCTTGGTCCCTGCACGTTTGCCTAAGCAGGCACTTTGGACCACTAAGCTATCTTGCTGGCCCATGTAGATATTGTTAAAAAGCAATATAATTATGCAACTAATTTACAGGACCATGGCAGGTATTAAAATGGTAGCACAGTGGCAGGGGTGGTATTGGAGATTCAAATATAACAATATTTTTTCTGTTAATGAATTACATAACCTCCAAACAATTTACTATTAAACCAACAGACTTTATCACAAGAAGTTTGAGACACTATAGAAGTTTAGAAAAGTAAATTTTGAAAAGTAGGATATTGTAGTAGCTCTTTCATTTTTGGACCCTTCACAGAAGATGGATAGATGGTGACTTGCTAAATCCACACCCACAAAATGATTAAAACTGTAAAATAGAATAATTTTAAAAGCTCAGAATGGAGAGAAGGTGGGAAAAGGCATTCTCATTGGCCTGTTAATGAAAGCAGAAATAGTCAAGGTAAAAATGATATGAAAGTTTACTTTAAAAAGTAACAAAGGGGCTGGGGAGATAGCTCAGTGGCATAAGTGCCTGCATGACAAGCTCAAGGTCCTGAGTTCAATCCCCAGTACCAAAAAATAAAAAGTTAAAAAAAAAATCTGGGTATGGTGGTGCACACCTATAATCCCAACACTTGGGAGGCAAAGACAGGAAGGAGTATTGCTGTAAGTTTGAGACTAGCCTTGAACTCACAAAAAAGAAGAAAGAGAAAAAAGGTGATAAAGGAAAAGGAAAACCAAAAATTATACTTTTTCTTAGTTTACATTGTAGCAGATCAAGTTGAGTTGTGCAGTAATGGGTGTAAGGAAGTAAAGGAAGAATAATGCATCCAGGTGGAGGGAGAGAGGGAAAGCCACCTGGAGGATACCAGGTAAAAGCAGTCTGTCTTGTTCTCAGACAGTGGCCATCTAGGATGACCAGAATACAGTTGGGAATCTTGGAACAGACTGAGACCAACATTTTTCAAACTTAGATGTACATAAGTCACCTGAGGGTTTTATGAAATTCATGTTTAGGGAGAGACATGAGAATCTGCTCTTCTAATAAATGACAGTGTGATGTGAATGTGTCCCATCATCATAACACTTTGAGTGACAATACTGTCACGTTTATCCTATTTATCAGCATTTCATGTCATAAATTAATTGCCACTGTTCATTTTTTTGAATAGCAAAAAATATGTAACATTTCTGTTAAGCTAGATATTAAATGGTTTAATATAGGCTGTGTTCTGGTGATGGTGAAATAAAGTGCTCAGCAACTTCACTGTCAGGTACAGAATTAGTAATTTAGGTACACACGCCCATCTTTTATTTCCCCAGAGCTGGTTATTTAACCCAGGGCTTTGTACACACTAGCTATCATCTTTTTATTGAATTAGTGTACGAGAATAATAATGGAAAGAGCCCAAAATTTGAAATCAGAGTTAGACCTGGGCCCCAATATCAGTTTTATGACTTAAATGACTGTCTGGTTATGAAAATAAATCAACCCACTTTTGTTTTTCCATTTTCTCATGTCCAAAGTATCATAGAAGGCATGTTATAGAAACTTGGTGATGATTAGAAATGATACAAATAAAGTACCTTGTAGAGAAAGGTTAGTGATGGTTATAAAATTTGATGACTTTTGAGATCTTACACAGATAAAGTTTTGTAATTTTTAAGGAAAGAACATTAAATAGTCCAATCCCAATTATTGGTGTGTAGATATGAGATATTTTTTGTTATTCTAAGGAAGTTGGAGGGGTAGTGCATTGTGTTTTTCCTAACACTTCCTCACCCCAGGATACTAACACTTATGGTATATATAGTATAGTTGTTACAGCTGAGAATGTGTTGTACTCTCGAATGTGATGGAAATATGTAAAATAGGTTGCATTGTAGTTTTATCTGAGTTTTAGTTTTGTGTCATATTTTTATTTCTTCTTGCTTATAGAAATTTGCTGTGGTATAGGAACATCTCTCTCTCAGGAGAAATGATAGTCCATCTGTTGCTTAGGCCTACTGGTTTGTTGTGCTTTCTAGAAAGAGTGGACTCAAAGATGAGACCACAAAGATCATGGAGGCAAGTTTGTGGACTTTGGGGCAGAGTTCTAGACTCCAGCCACCCAAACCCTCAAAGAACGGCATGGACTGTATGGGTGGTCACATCCCTTTGGTCTGCTGATCTCACCTCCCCTCTCTGTGAGGACAGCCATAGCCAGAGGCACAAGCAGCCCTTTTCACAGCCCCTGCTGTAGCAGGGGCCCAGGTAGTTGGATAGGAATGTGTTAAGGAAATGAATGTGTAATCTCAGATGACTTTTTTTGGAATGTATATTTAGCTTTTTTGTTTCATGATTGGTGTATTTTCATTTATGGTTGACTTTTTAATGGATGTTTCAAGAATGTTACAAACATCTTATTAGCTCTGAGATGGAAACAAGTCTTGGTGATTTAAAAAATCTTAGATTAAATTTGTTCTTGCTAAAAGACATGGTATTATGTGCTGTTTTCCCTCTAACTTTTCCCTTGTCCTATGTTTTAACTTTTTAGACAGACTTCAGCTCCCCAGGAATATGATTGAAAACAGTATGTTTGAGGAAGAACCAGATGTGGTGGATTTAGCCAAAGAACCTTGTTTACATCCCTTAGAGCCTGATGAAGTGGAATATGAGCCTCGGGGTTCTCGACTGCTGGTGCGTGGCCTTGGTGAACATGAGATGGATGAGGACGAAGAGGATTATGAGTCATCTGCGAAGCTGCTGGGCATGTCCTTTATGAACAGAAGCTCTGGCCTTCGGAACAGTGCGGCTGGCTACAGACAGAGTGCGGAAGGGGCTTGTTCGGTACCCTCTGCAAAGACCTTGGGAGTCTGTGCTTTTGTCATTGTGGTTGCTATTTCCATCATCATGGTGATTTACCTACTCCCAAGATGTATCTTTACCAAAGAAGGCTGCCATAAAAAAAACCAATCAATGACACTAATTCAGCCACTTGCAACAAATGGGAAGTTATTTCCATGGGCACAAGTGAGGCTTCCCACTGCCATTATGCCACAACGCTATGAACTTGACTTACATCCAAACTTAACTTCAATGACATTCAGGGGTTCTGTGGCAATTTCAGTTCAGGCTGTTCAGGCCACATGGAATATCATTCTTCATAGCACAGGTCATAATATTTCAAGAGTAACCTTCATGTCAGCAGTTTCAAGCCAAGAAAAACAAGTTGAAATCCTGGAATATCCCTATCATGAACAAATCGCCATTGTTGCCCCAGAAGCCCTCCTAGCAGGGCACAATTACACCTTGAAGATAGAGTATTCAGCAAATATATCTGCTTCTTACTATGGGTTTTATGGAGTCACTTACAAAGATGAAAGTAATGAGAAAAAGTATGTAGCCCTTTTGAATGATTTTGGTTCTTTTTTTTTTTTTTGTGATGACTTCTGAAATAAGGATCCTTTGCCCAGGGACAGTAACTACATTTTTTAAACTTAGGAAATTATGTCCAAAATGAACGATGATTTGGAAAAATGTTCTATTTTTCTGAGGCAAAGCTTTGTCATATGCCATGGTAGGGTGGGCTAGGAATGTGCTGGTGGAAGGGATGGATAAAGATTTTTATTAATTATATTCTCACAAAAGTTATCTTGAGCTTTTCAATTTTATAAGATAAATCTAATTTTCTGTAACTATGCAGTGGGAATCAGGAAATGGGAAATGACTAGAAAAATACTTATTTTTGTAATGTGAAGAACTTTTAGGAGATATTTAATAAGATAAAGAGGGCAGGAAGTCTAATATGCTTTCATGTATCATATTCAGTGTCCTGAATTTGTGCTGATACACTTTTTTAAAAAAATACTTCTCTCTATTGGACTTCTGATAGAAAGGTAAAATTCAACAAGAGTATTCAGCTCCTTATTTAGACCATGTATTTTGTACTTTACTCTCAGTAGCACATAGCTGGAATATCTAAAAATGTCACTTATACTACATATTGATTATTCATAAGTAGTGATGATGCTAAGTCAATTCTCTTATGTTCACCAAGTCTTTGTTACACCTGCGTGTGTAATTGAAACATTCTCACACCCTGTAAATTAGGATATGAATTACTGTTTCTCATCATTTAGCTAATATATGTTGATATATTATGCAAAATAGAGGTAAATATTTTATGTCTATCTTAAGGAAGTTATTTGATTTTTCTTAAATGGAGGGATAAAGCAAGTTCTATAGTTCTATTCAGATAGCTTTTATTCTTCCCTTTAAATAAATCTTGTCAAGTATTCTTGTATGGTATTTGACATTGAACAAAAATTTGGGGCTCCATTGGTGCTTTAGGAGTTCTTGGCTTTAGTTCTCTTACAGTAAGCTCCATCCTCCCTAGGAGATATAGGATATACGTCAAAATAGCTCGTTGGGCCAGAGAGATAGCTCAGCATTCTAAATACCTTCATGGCAAGCACAAGTACCAAGGTTCAATCCCTGGTACCACATGCCATGCCAGCCCTGTGCAGAACCTGCCACCAAGGCTGGGTATGGTAGCACACACCCATAATACCAGCGCTAGGGAGGCTGTGACAGGAGGATTACTATGAATCTGAGCTGCATAGTGAGATCTTGTACCAAATAAATAAAAACAAAAAACAGTGAGTTGGTGTGAAATCAGAACTTTGAAATAGGCCCCCTAGCTATCACAATCTTATCTGATCAAATAATCAGAATCCATGGGTTTGTTACTGTGTAATAGGAATAAAAAATGTTGTATAACAGAGTTTGTTGACTTTTGGTACGAGCACTTGTTGATTATTGCCATGGGCTGGATTGAGTTGTGGAGTATGCTAGAAAACAGAGTATGATTCCTTAAAATTAAGAAATATAACACTAAAAATAGTATTGTAAAGTCTTAAAATAGTTTATGAAACTCCTATTATAAACAAATTTTAAGTTCCTTAATATACCTGTTAAGAGTACAAAAGCCCCACATTATTATGTATCTTGGTAGAAGATAAAAATTTAGATTGTTTATACCTTTCAGAATGTCAGAAAACTAAGCAATTTTTAAAAATATGTACTCTTGGGGGCCTGGGAGATGACTCAGTAGAGTAAGCACTTCCCTGGCAAACGCAAGGGCCTGAGTTCAATCCCCGGTTCCGGAAAAAAAAAAAGGGGGGGGGGGGGGCGGGGAGATGGCTCAGTGGAATAAATGCTTCCCGGGAAAGCGCAAGGGCCTGAGTTCAATCCCCGGTTCCGCCAAAAAATAAAAATAAAAATAAAAATATGTACTCTTACAATTCTTTCCTACTTCCCCTACTTTCTTTTTTTTCACCCCTATTTTCTACATGATTACCAACTTATTCTTATTTCTATCTTTATCTCTATAAGTAAAGAAAATCACATTGTTTTTCAGCTTACAACCTTTAGCACATCCTCATTTCTATCAAGTTCAAGACCTTTCTTTGGTGCCAGGGAGTTGGCTCAATGGCTTAAGTGCCTGCCTGGCAAGGACAAGATCCTGAGTTCGATCCCCAGTACAAAAAAAAAAAGACCTTTCTTTGAAGCTGGATCTGGTAGTGCATGCATATAATCCCAGCACTGGGGGAGCTGAGCCAGGAGGATCACTACGAGTTCAAGGCCAGCCTGAACTACATAGTGACACCCTGTCGCAAAAAAAAAAAAAAAAAAAAAAGGCATCTCTTTTAACAATAATGTTTTGTCTTAAAATATTCTGTTCTAGTTTTATCCATAATTAGACTCTTGTGTGAAGAATAGGTATATTATCAAATTTATTACCTGGCTGCTAGTCAGTTGTGTTAAATATGTAAGAATACTAAGGGCCAGGTGAAGAAATGGGCTATTAGAAGCTTAATAAGTCTAGATTGTTTCATGTGTGGTGATTGCTACATTTAGTGTAGTTTATCCAATAGAAAGATATTAGGGCATGTCTTCACGAGGAAAGTAAGTAGAATGATTTTAAGTGTGAAAGAATTTAGTTATGCAGTGTTTGCAATAAACATCTCTGTAGGGTTTTTTATTGTGTAGAAGTGGTTTTTATCATGAACAAAAGGCCTGGGTATTTGGTAGATGAGCCTTTCAATCACAAGAATATTTAAGAAGACTGAGATCTAGGTCAGTGTTTTGCTCAAGGTCCTATGGCTGAAAGTTTTAGATTTTGGGACTTCATATGCCAAATTCCAGATTTTTCTTTTCTACTTACCATCTAACAGTGGAAACTAAGCCCTAAGCAAGAGAGGCTCCTATGGAATGGTTGTAGTTGTGATAGATTGCCTCGTACCAGAAATTGACACAGCAGGGTCACAACTGCCCTGATTATTTTGTGGCCCTTTTTACATAATTTTCTAAATAAGATTCTACTTTATTCCTCTACTTATTTGAAAATCTGCACATTCCCCATTTCTTTTCATACTTTTTCCTTAATCTATTATTGAGAATCATTGTATGTGTTAAAATATTAGCAGTTGGTACTGTGTTATGTAAGAAAGGAAATTGACTCGTTAAAAAAAGTAAAAGAAAACAGTACTACAGGTCACTTATATTTTTCAGTACTCATGAAAGTAAGCTTGTGAATATGAGGTTTAGTGGTACAAAGCCAGAGTGTGTACAGATGATTAATTAGTGGAACCCTTACTGGCCTTCTGTGAGAAACCTATAAGGCTTCAGAGGCCAGCTGCAGCTTACTTGTGTGGCTTCTTTTCCAGCCACTCCTGTCAGCTGCCCCTTTTCTGAACTTGCCCTGCTTGGTCTTTCCTAGTGCTACCCACTCTTTGAGTGCATTCTTCCCTTCTCATCTTTTCCACATACTCCTTATGTTTTAAGGCCCTCTTTAGACTTTATCCATTTTGTAACAGTGTTTTGACCTCTAATCAGAATTTGTCCCATACCTTTATATCCATACTTTGTTTTCACTGTTAGAACATGATTTGCATTCTGACATAAGTTTCTGCCCTCCATTGATTGAGTCCTTTAATGAGTAGGATTATACCATGTTTATCTTACATGGTAGGTGATCAGTAACTATTGGATTTAATTGTATCTGTTTTAGGTACTTTGCAGCAACTCAGTTTGAACCTCTGGCAGCAAGATCTGCTTTTCCTTGTTTTGATGAACCAGCATTTAAAGCCACATTTATCGTCAGGATCATAAGAGAAGAGCAATACACTGCTTTATCAAATATGCCTAAGGTACCATTCCATTTTTTTGAATATAAAGTGTTTGAGCCAGGCTAATGGTGAGATTGATTGGAGGCATGTACATTAATAATACTTAAATAAAAACTCAAATACAGTATGTATTGAGATCGTTTGGGAAATCTGCCTGTGGAGAACCTAAAGAAAAAGACATGTTGGACTTGGAATGCATAGATAGAAAATGTGTCCTGTGTATGAAAGTTGTGCAAATATTAACACTGTGAGCCAGTATAAGATGAAAGCAATGATTTCTGAGACAGAATAAATTTTCTGATCTCGATAGTATTACTTAATAATGTGGAATTGTGGAACATTATTACTTAATAATGTTCTTGGTGTTTTATGAATAAATGAAAAATGGATGTAACTTGGAGGTTGATGTCATGAACAGGAGCCCAGTGAGTGTCAATTCTGAATGGGAGGCAGTGGGCACAAAACAAAGCAGAAATTTTCTTCCTAACCAGAACCTAGGGTAGCTTTTGATTGTCTCATATATCTTAAGAAGCTTCCCGGAATGCTGTGGCTAGGGCAGAGGAGAGCTGAGCCGTGTACAGCAGGCTGTGGAGCCCACTCCTGTTAGCAGCAGAAGGCAACATGATATGGCTCTGTCTGGAATGGTATTCCGATAGCTTTACTTCTACCACATGCTTCACTTCAGTCTTCCACAACCAGGCCAGCCAAATAGCTCAGTGGATTAAAGTGCCTGCTTAGGCAGATTCAGGCCAGGAGTTCGATCTGGGCGTGGTAGCACGCGCCAGTAATCCCAGCACTTGGGAGGCTGAGAACAGGAGGATCACTACGAGTCTTGTCTATGCAGTGAGACCCTGCACACCCTGTGCTAAATTAAAAAAAAAAAAAAAAAGATCCCCAATCTTTCACAACCAGGTAGATGCCTATTTGCTTGTTGTCTTTAACAAATTTAATTAATGATTCAGATATCCTACATGTTTGCATTTCTTTATTTTGTGTCTGCTACAGACTTTGGTGATTTATGACCTTTGATCCCTCTAAACCTTGTTGAGCTCCTCCACATGGCATGGAAAGCCCTTTCACATCACTTGGTGAGGTAGAGAGATCCCTAAGTCATAGGAAAGGATTTAAGTTTCTGGTGGAATTAAAGAGAAGAAATGGAACCAGTGCTCTCTCTAGTATACATGTATTTAAAGTTACCCTGGGTTTACAAAGTCAAGAATTTCCACTGTACTTAATGTGTGCTCTTGGCAAAGGATGGTGAAACAAACTGAGACCAAGGGTATGCTCTCTCTAAGAACTTTGGCTGAAGGATTAAAATATGCCAGCATCTTTGCTCTTCATGTCATCTGTAGTTTCTGTGTATTTGTTACTGTCATTTATTCCTGTAGTTACAGAACTATCGCATTTTCTGTTTGCCTGTAGAAGTCGTCAGTTCCTATGGAAGATGGACTTTTTCAGGACGAGTTTTGCGAGAGTGTAAAGATGAGCACTTACCTGGTTGCTTTCATTGTAGGCGAGATGAAGAACCTGAGTCAGGATGTAAATGGAACCCTGGTATGTTGAAGTAATTGTTCAAAAAGCTGTCTCAGAGGAGGTTGAGAGAAATTCTTATAATTTCTGTCTTCTGAAGGAAAAGAAGCTTTTGAATCACACATTAACAGTTTATACAGAAAACTTGCTTATTATTCTTAGCTTAATGCTTGAAAGCCAATTTTCATGTTCCTTATTTATAGCAATATGGTGGTCATTTACCTTATGTAGTTATTTATACTTAATCAAAATTAGGGGCTGGTGAGATGGCTCAGTGGTCTAAAGCACCTACTTAGAACAAGTTTAGCAAAGCACAGGGACCATGGTTCAATCCCCCAGCACCACATGCCAGCCAGCCCCGCCCCCTGGTGGGCTGAGCTGGCCACACACACACACACACACAAATAAATAAAAAAAATTAAAAAAAAATCAAAATTAAATAAAACTCTCCCTCACTAGCCACATGTCAAGTGCTGTGGTAATATTCTTGAGGCTAGTGGCTACCGTATTGGGTAGGCTGTAAAAATTAGATCCCCACTCCTACCCTTTTAAAGCATATTCTGAAGTCTGGGCTGTAGCTCAAGGGGAAGACACGTGCTTTGCATGTGCAGGGACATGGGTGCAAGCTCTCATATCAAAAACAAACAACAGAAACCCCAGAAAGTCCTGGCTGAGTTATTCATAGAGCATGAAGGTTGCTTAACTAAAGGGTCTGGTATGTCTGCATTTTGGAAAAATAGATCCTTTATTCTAATAAATATTCTGTTTTTCTTCATCTTGTAAAGGATTATTTAATTGATTTTTATGCTTAATGTAATAGTAGAGAATTAATAAACCTAATACTTTCATATACTGATAATACAGAAGAAAAAGTCTTTTAAAACTTTAAAGACCCTCTTCCATTATTCCTCCTTCAGTCCACCCATCCCTCTCTTTCATCCACTGCGTTGGCTTCTTACTATTTGTATGGTTACATTCAAACTCATTCTGATAGTCAAATCCTTCCATACAAATACAGCTATGTTTTGGAGTGCTCCGGTGTGAATTCTTGTAGCTAGCCAAGTTGAATTATTCAATATATGTGTGTGTGTGTGTGTGTGTGTGTGTGTGTGTGTGTGTGTGTTTATGCCACATTTATATATTCTTCTCTGTGTGTGTGTGTGTGTGTGTGTGTGTGTGTGTGTGTGTATAGAAGAGGAGAGATTGAGAAGTTTCAGACAACTTCTTTCTTGCTTTTTATTTACTCATATTAGGAAGCAGCATGGTAAACATAGGCCCCAGAGCTTTCTTGGGCTGGAGTCTCTCCTATGTATCTTAGCAGCTCTGAGCATTGGGCAAACTGTATTCTAATCTTTATACTCCATTTTCTACAACTCTAATGTTGCATGCACACAGAGACACAAATCCATATGACATACACATGCATATTATATGTACATGTATAGAGTGCACACTTCCCTTGCACACAGCATAGAAGTATATTGTGAAATCCTTTGCATGTCAGGGGATGTAAGTTATTTTTACTGCTACCCAGTAGTGATGTGTTTTGAAAAAATTAACATAAATGAACAAAAGTTTTATTAGTTTCCTCCATTTTTATTAGGAAATGAGGAACATAATATCCATGAAATTATACTTTGTGCTAGCAGTCCTAGGCACTCATTTATAAACAATTTCATTTTATAAATTGCATGGAAAAGAAAATAATACACTGCTTGAGGGGAGGACTTAGCCCCATCTTGCCGAGGAGAAAACAGTGTCTCAGGTAGGAAGATTGAACTAAGACTATATAGCCAGTAAGTGACAGTGAAAATTTCACAACTGCTTCTTGGTACTTTGGTAAGCACCAAATGTTATAAATAACTTCTGCAGATACAGTAACTAGAAATGCAAAACTTGGAGGGTTTTTTTTTTTAATGCTAAAAGGACTTTTGTTGCGTTAAAATGTAGTGATCTCTGAGATGATTTCTATTTTATGATATTTGATAGTAGATGTATTTAACAAGACTTAGGAAAAAGGGCTTTACTTGGTAATGCCAAACAACTAAAAATGTCAGAGTTGACTGTAGTGTCCTGTTCAGCAATAAAAACTGCTTTACAACTAGAGGGGTAGCCTTGTGGAAGAGTGTTTACCTAGTGTCCTGGAAATATGAGCCGAGATTAATAATGTCAAAAAGGTTGAAAAGGGGAGAAAGGGAAACAAAATGAGAGAGCGAGGGGGATGGAAGGAGCGTAGGAAAAGAAACAAGCTGTAGTAGGTATGTATACCAACTCCCCAGGAAAATCATAAAACGTGTGTGCTGCAAACATACTAATAGAAGAAGAGCATGTCAAAGGCTTAAGCAGAAAAGAACATTTACTTCTATTCTTTTCTCCTTATTCCGTAAACTTCTTTCTGCCTCCAGGACTGTTATAATTGCCTACGAAACTCTAGGCCAGATGTGAAATACACTGTTTTACTTACCAGTCTTAAGGTTTTTATTTTGTTTTTTGCTTCTGTATGCTTTCACTTTTGTCATAGACAGTCCTATTTGCTAAAGTCAAAATTCATAATTAGTCCACATCCAACAGTCAACATTTAAGTAAATTCTGCAACAATCTTATTATTACTGTTATTGTTACTTATTTATTTATTTTTATGTATTTAGTACAGGGTCTCACTACACTGCTCAGACTCATAATGATCCTCCTGTTCCTAGCCTCCCCACCAATGGGATTATAGGTGTGTACCACCAAGCAGGCCCGATATTGGTGGCCTGCTTGGTGCACAAGGTCCAGTCCTGCAGGGATGTGGTGCCGGGGATCAAATCCTGATCCCTTGCGCGTGCCTCAGCAGGCACTTAGTCTGCCAAACTATCTCACTAGCCCAATGGTATTATTTATGTGGCTATGATTCTCATTTACTCACATTTAATTCAGAGGTATGACTTTGTATGAAATTTCCATTGAAAACATTTCTACCTCAAGTATCTGTTTACCAGCCTGGAACATTGTACAGTTTATATTATTCTGCTGTAGTCTTTCTAAGTAGTTATTGTAGATAGACCTGATACTGTTTGTTTTAGGACATGCTATTTTGTGTCCAGTTACCTGTTAGAAAGCCACTATTTTTCAGGAAGTTTAGTCATGAAGCTTCGTATTTTCTCTCCTTATATAGCTTATATGTCATGTTTTTCTTTTTTGGTGTGGAGAAAATGAGTCTTAGTTCTATTTTTGCTTCTGTTTTTGTTCTTATTAATGTAAGGAAAAGATAACTGAAACGTAACAAATCTGTTGTTTCAGAATCTTAAGAATCTTTTTCCCAGAGCTGATCAGCATCTTTATGCAGTAGGTTTTTTTAGAATCAACCATAAGGTCCTTGTAAGACATCTGCCAAAGAAAGTTTAAAATTTACATCTTAAGGCCAGCTACATTCTATTTCACAGTGTTTTGTGTGTGTGGGGGGGGGTGGTTAGGAATTTAGCGTAGCCTTAGGCATGCTATGTGTGGGCTCTACTGCTGAGCTTGCAGGCCCCCACTAATGTTTAGTGTTCTCATCATTCCCAGAGTGCTATTCAAGACTTCCTTGGCCGGAATGGATTGTGCTCTTCACTTTTTACAGCTTCTGCTGTTCTTCGAATGTTAATGAAGATTTCTGTCTAGTAAAAACTCATAAAGCATGTTCTCTTAAGAGGAGGAGGAAGGAAGAATAAATAGCAGACCACCTTTTTCTTCTAGCTATGCTATTCCAGAAATGGGGATAAGTACATTTTTGGGTCAGATTTAAGTTATGTTTCTAGTTATATGTATTTAATTTAAATAATTATCCCACAAAAGAAAAACTAGCCATTTAAATAAGGTGGATCATTCTATCTTGTTTCCTCCTTAGCAAATGCCTGGAGTGAATGGTCTGTGGAAGACATAAATTGGTTGTTTCCTTGGATACTTTTAGTTTTGTGTGTCATTCAATATAAATATATATATATATATATATATATATATATATATATATGATAACATGGTCCATTAAAATAAGCAAACAACTGAAAAAATGAATATATAAATAAGTTTTCTCAGCACTGAAAGAAAACCTGGCTATCCATACTTGAGAGTATTTTGATCTCTAATCAGTTTTTTGTAATACAATTTCAAGAAATGTACAATTTATGCCAAGTAGATTTAGAATTAACTCCACCATAAAATGTGACTTCTCTCTATTTAGATGCCAGGTATTAAGATAGGTACTCAAAGGATAAAAGGATAAAACTTGTTATCCTTCAAATAATTCAGTCTTCATAGCTCATAAGTAGAGGCAGTTGCAGGGAATGAAAAAGGAAGAATATCATAAAATTTAATGGGTAAATGTTTATAAATTGCTATAAGATGGCCCCAACTAGCTTATTTGGAAAGTTATGATAGCTTAAAAATAAAGGAATTACTAAGAGTTTGATTTTTCTTTTTAGAAGTGTTGTATTCAAGGCAGGAGGATCACTGAGTCTGAACTGCATAGTGAGACCCTGTACCAAATCAATCAATCAATCAATCAATCAATCAATCAATGATTTAAAAAAAGAAATATTGTATTCATGGAATGTATCTGCTAAACTCTGTAGAGATGAAAATAACATGCATTTTTCAGATATGCTGGTTCTGAATTGTGGCATTTTAATTGTACCTGTCCTCACATTCTACATAATATTCCTTTTAGGTTTCCATATATGCTGTACCGGAAAAGATTGATCAAGTTCACCATGCCTTAGAAACAACAGTGAAGCTTCTTGAGTTTTATCAAAATTACTTTGAAATTCAGTATCCACTTAAAAAATTGGGTAAGAGTCAAACAATGCCTCTGATTTTTATTGCGTTTATTACTGAGATGTTTTACAAATGTTTTTTTAAAGAGCTTTTGCCAAAGTTATTTTTTAAAAGAAGAAATGTTAATATGTTAAAACTGTTTGTATTCTATGAATGTACCTGAACTTGGAGCTTAAAACACTTAGAAGTTTATGGAGCTTTCACAATGGTGCTGTATAAGTGAGAGTTTGCTGAGAGCTCAGTCTGGAGTTTGATAAATTTCAAGAAAAATTCTAATTTAAAAAAAAAACTCATGATGGGGGTGCAGGAAAGCAGAAGGATTTCATTATTATTCAATATGGATTGGCCCTGAACTTCATCCTCCTCATCTAGGAAGTCAGTTCATTGGAAGGAATTAGCCTCTGTTTTTTGCTAAGGCACACTGGAATGACCCAGATGCTGGGGTCAGGTGCTTCTCCCCTGGCTGAGGAAGGAGCCTGCAGAGCTACAGTAAGGTGACTCCTTTTTACACTCCAGAGAACGTGAAAAGATTTTGCAGCTTTCACAGTGATAAACTCATGGGCAAGATATTTTGATTTAACAAGGGAGTACTTACATGAAGGAAAATTGATCACTTCTTTCCTGTTATGTACAGATTTGGTGGCCATTCCTGACTTTGAAGCTGGAGCAATGGAAAATTGGGGCTTAATCACCTTCCGTGAAGAGACGCTTCTATATGACAATAACACTTCTTCAGTGGCGGATAGAAAGCTGGTTACTAAAATCATTGCTCATGAGCTGGCCCACCAGGTGCTAATAAGCAGTGCCCCTACATCGCATACCTGTTGTCTGCTTCTTGTCCTAGAGTTTCAGAATACATGTTACTAATCTAATTCACTTTTCTTATACTGATTTTTTTAATAATAAAAAGATACTTTTTAACACAAATTTAGATTTCCAGATGAAAATGCTGTTTGTGTAGGACCTTAGAGTTAAAGCATTTATATATTCATTATTTCACTTTACAGCTGCTCTAAGGTAGGTGATAATCCCATTTTCAGGTTCAGAAACTAAGACTTGGCTTAAAGAAATGATTTGTCCAAAGTCACACAGCTAATAATAAGTAACACTGGGCCTGAAGTGTCACTATTTCTTCAGGACCTCTTTTTTTACCCTCATAATATAAATCTGCTTTCCCTCTGACAAATGCCAACAGCTTAATACAATTTTGTAGTGAAGAATTTTTCCCTAAATTATAATCTCTTCCGACAACTCTTGAACCATAGTTGTTAAGTCTGGCTTTATTTTTTTCATTTTCTGCTGGAACTCCTCAATTATCTATTAAGTGGGAGAGGAAAATTCTGAGTAAAAAATTAGGGTATTATTTGTATATCATGAAGAAAAAGCAGTTGCATGGGGATATATCCTCCCCTCTCGTCTCCATTGGGCCCAGGATGTGCGGTGGTCAGCGTTGGGTATGCTTTGAGATAGGTCGGAGTGGCACTGTGCGAGAAGAGCAGGAAGTGCTTTGGTTACTGTGCTCTCTGCCTCCAGCACAATCTCTGGGTGCCCTAGTAGACTCCTGAAGGTTTCTTGGCCAGCTGAAGCATATGTTTACAGTTACAAATGGTCCACAGAGATCAGTTATCTCTTGTGGGATCTTCATTATTTGTGGCCTCCCATCACTACTCGGGGAGTCCTTCATTGTTATTTCTTCTTTAGGACTTACAAATCTTCTTTCTGTAAAACAGGCTTTAGGGTAATTTCTTAGAAAGTATACTATTACACTTCAAAAAGTATTCTAGCTACCCTTTTACTATCAGAGAGAACCTGTGGGACACATTGACTGAATTGCATGCTCTAAGATCATTTTTTGAAGGATTTTCAATACAGTTTCTTTAGGAGAGTCTCCTGGTTTTTTTTTTTTTTTTTTTCTTCCTTTTTACTGCCATATAGAGGAAAGCACTTGAAGACCTTCCTTTCATTTGTTTTGTATAGCTAACTTTTAAAAAAATGTTGTCTAAATTCTGACTTGAATCATGAAAACACTGCCTTTAGTTTGGAAACTGCAGAGAAATAGGATGTATAGGCTTTAGCCCTCTAACTGCAGGAAAATCTCTTACATAGAAAGTTTCAGCTGTCATGAGTGATTATAGATGTAATGGAAAGTAATGTTAACAGTAAGATACTAAGAAGTGAATTTCATTGTCTAAGAAATCCTTTCATGAGGTAGCTAAAAAATACTTTCATTTTATAGCATGTTTTTCAAATTTATTTTATTTTTTTAAAATTTTTTATTTTTTTGGTGGAACCAGGGATTGAACTCAGATCCTTGCATTTGCCAGTCAAGCACTTATCCTACTGAGCCATCTCCCTGGCCCCTCAAATTTATTTTAAAAATAAATTTTATTTCATAGCATGTTTTTCATCTGCTAATAAATAAATATATTCTTGTTTTTCACCTTCAATTAAGATAAAATGTGAAATTTTCTATTTTACTATTAAAGTAGATTTATATAATTTTTAGTAAGTCCTTAATTGATTTGACTATATTTTCTTTGGATTATAATACTAGAATACATTTTAAAGATTTTAATCTGGTTATGGAGAGTTAGTCTGATAATTCAGCCACTTGTTGGAAAATCTTGATATTGTGTATATCCTGTTGGTTAACCATTTGTTTTCCTGGCAGTGGTTTGGTAACCTGGTAACAATGCAATGGTGGAATGATCTATGGCTAAATGAAGGTTTTGCAACATTCATGGAATATTTCTCTTTGGAAAAAATATTCAAAGAGCTCTCTAGTGTAAGTATAGTATTTCCTTGTCCTAGTAGGAGTGTTAGGAGGAAAAACAGTCAACTGACATTTGCCTTGTATTTTCTATGCCTTTGGGGTAATAGAAATATTTCTAGAAAGCTATAATAAAATTGACCTTTGTTCTGATGTCTGTACCTTTTGAGATTTAACAATGAAAATTAAGCTTTCATTTACTGATTTTTTTAAAAGGTGAAATTATATAAGATTACATATTTTTGTCATTAAGATGACTATCTTAAATTGTACTGCTACATTTTATTTTTAACAGATGTGGTCCTTTCTGCTAGAAACAATTTAAAGAAGGTTCAAAAGCCTCTTTTTACAAAACAAAACCTTTTCATCTTTTGTATATATAGAGAAAAACGTTAAAGCATTTTGTAGCAGTGCTGTCTTTTGTCCATCGTGGGCATTCTTACAGCAGTGACATATAGGTTGAGACATACAGTGTGGCATAAAATAGCTTTTGTTTGAAAACAAGTCCTTTTTCAAACACTTTAAATGCTATTCTATTACAGACAGGCAAAATAGTATTGTCACTATATACTAGATTCTGTGAAGACGTGTCCTATGCTTGGGGATATCGAGGTATACTATGTCATTGTGACAGGTTCTACCAAAATGATTCAGGCTGTGAGTGGGAAAGGTAAATATTCTTTGAGCCCTAATTCAGTGAGTTAAATTTCCTGGAGACGTGATTCAAGATTGCTTTAGAAAAGAATTATTCTTAGAGAGCTTTTCATTAAAACTTCTGTATAGGAATTCTTTACATATTCAAGTAATAGAAGAAATTAAATTTTAGCTAGAATGCTAAGCAGGGTATTCAAAATTAAGCAATGAGATACACAGTTTCACCACTTGGTGGTGCCCAGAATGTTTAAAACCCTAATCCATAGTCTGGGGAAGTTCAGCTACAAAGACCTCAGAGAGTTCTTTCTGTTCAAAAGTTTTATTTAAAATGAACTTCAATTAAGAGAAATGTTAATGAAATGTTACTTTATGTTAAAGTATGGATTATATACAAGGAATCAGTTTAAAGGCTTTTTTTCCTTTTTAAATTTCAGATTTTGTTTTAAAATATATTTTAACCTCTTGAGAATATTCATCTTGAATATTCATATTTGGCATTTTTTAGTAATAGATTATTCATTTTTATGCTCTTGTTTAGAAAATGCTGATTTTCTTGTATCTAGGTTATAACTTTAAGGAATATGTATGAGGTCATGGTGTTACTATACTTTTTTTTTTTTGTATTTTAGTACAGGGTCTACATGGTCTCACTATGTAGATCCGACTTGTAGTGATCCACCTGTGTTCATCCTGCCAAGTGCTGGGATTACAGGCATACACCACCACGCCCAGTATTAGTCGCCATCTCTTTATGCCCTGGGGACGGGGCCTGCATGACACACTGCAAATCGAACCCTGGCCACTGTATCTGCCTAAGCCCAAGCTTTAATCCACTAAGCTATTTGGCCGGCCCTATACTTTCAAAAGTTTATATTCTGAAGTAGTTAAGCTGGTTATTATTTTTTCAGAATAACTTTAAATAGTAACTAGTAGAATTCATATAAATAATTGTTATAGTTACTTTTATCTTTGATATTATTCTTATTCTAATCTGCTTGATTTTTTTTTTTTTTTGCTAGTATGAAGATTTTTTAGACTCTCGATTTAAAACCATGAAGAAAGATGCTTTAAACTCATCTCATCCAATATTATCATCTGTTCAGTCTTCAGAACAAATTGAAGAAATGTTTGATTCTCTTTCCTATTTTAAGGTACTGCTGTATACAAATAGTACCAATAGTAGGCTTCAAATTAATTTTGTAATGAGCAAGCTTCATGATTTACAGATGACTTGAGTATTATTTTCAGGTGTCCTGTTGAATTCTTAAATGTTTATTTTATTTATTTTTTTTTTGTATTTTAGGGAAGGGTCTACAGGGTGTTCAGGGTCTTACTACTAGATCGGACTCATAGTGATCTATCTGCCTGTTTACAGCCTCCCAAGAGCTGGGATTACAGGCATGCGCCACCATGCCCAGTCTCAGCGTGCCCATGGGCAGGGATCAAACCCCCAGCCCCTGTGTCTGCTTGTAGATGCTTTAATCTGCTGAGCTATTTGGCTGGCCCCTAAATGTTTAAATTTTAAACATACAGATCTATTGTAAAAAATTTGAACTTTTTTTATTTTTTCCTTTTTTCTGTGTCTCCCTCGTAAGTTCTGTGACTAGTATTCCAGGCAGTTGCCAAGATCTTAAGCCATGCACCTGTTCTATTTGGTTTAATCCACAGATCTTAAAGTTGCAGGGAGGATTCTAAGTAAACCCTTGCTTTTTTACTCAAAATTGAGGTGAGTTCTAAAGTTAGAATTCCCAAAACAAGCAAAAAGATTCTATGAATCAAAGATTGGAATGCAGGTACAAAAACAAAATGCAGATTTGAGGATGAAGAAAATAAAATTAGAGACATTGTCCTTCATATTTGCAGTAGCAGAGCACTGAGTGTTAGGGTCCATTTGCTTCCTTATTTTGATTATCAGATCAATTGATTAATAAATTTTTCTACTAGATACAGAACATAATACATGAAACATGTGAAGTACAATTCATATCTATTACAGTAGTCCCTCACTGTTTTATGGTTTGACTTTCATTGACTCACTGTTTCACAGGTTTTCAAAAAATATTAATCTAAATTATTTATCATGGGTTTTTGTGCAATATCATGGGATTTTACTATACCACACAGTGTCTGCATGTTGTTAAAATTATATAGGTTTATGAATTTAGAAAATGGTTAAAAACATTAGAAATATTTTTAGAAGAGTGGGAAAGGTTTATAAGAGTGTGGGAAGGGTTTATAAAACCTTAAATATATATAAATACTAAAATAAATATAATGTTGCTGCTTTGTTGGTTTTCACTTATCACAGGGGTGTCTGGAACGTAACTTCCATGATAAGTGAGGGACTACTTGTACATGCCAACAGTACAGGGAAGTTCTGCATGACATGCTGAGGAGAGATTCTTTTGAAAAAATGGGAATTAAAATGGGTTAAATAGTATAGATAAAGAAGAGTGGGAATAGCAGGCTAAGGCAGAGATGGAATAATAGGCTTTATAAATGAAAAGTTAAGAATACTGATGGACAAGGAACATTTGTTTAGCAAATACATGTGTCACTACAGTGGAAGCAACATGTGGAATAGGGGAAAGATGCGATAGGTAGGTAGGGCCTAGTTGCAAAGATTCTGAACACCATAAAGAACCTAGATATTTTTTCTGTAAGCAGTGGAAAGCTTTAGAAGATTTCCAACAAGCGGTGACTTGATTCAAGTTCCTACTTAGGAAAAAATTAGTTTCAGTTTTATGAAATGAATAAAAGAGGGCAGAGACCAAAAGCCAGGAAATTGATGATGAACTTCAGTCATATAATGGTAAAAATTTGAAACTAGGAGTGGTAGTAAAGGTTGACAGAAAGCAGTGAGTATAAAAACACAGAGTAGAGGTAAATACTTAAGTGGTAGATAAGATAGGTAAGCAAGATGGCAGACATTTTTCCAGACTAAAGCCTGACTTGTTTAGAATTTGGAAAGGTAAATAATTCTTATTCTATTAATGGGAGTGTTATAGCACAGAGGAGAAAGTTGGTGAGGTGGGGGCATTTGGGAACAAGAATGAGTACTTCAGTTTATAAGCAGTTAGTAGCTATGAATTTCAAAAATGTGTAATAGCTATTTTTTTCTGTGTATTGATAATCTTGATGGGTTAACATAGATGCACTTTTAATGTAAAATTTATTCAGAAACTATGTTAGTGCTTACTAGTAGGCATTGTAGTAGGCACTGCTTTAGTGTAGCTGAGTTTGCCAATTCTCTCAACTAGCATACTCAACTAGTCTAGAAAAGGAAATGCAGTTTAAATTTCCACTGGAGATGGAGAAATATGATTCCTGTTTCACATTAAGGAAGACTTCACAAAGGAGGAGATCATTTGGGGGTTGGGAATGACAACTTGTGCATGAGTCAATACCACGTGGCCTTTGAGTAGCATACCTGGTTGTGAATTTTTAGTGTATGATTGTTGCCCTATATATTTATTGGTTTCAAATACATTTCAGCTTGTCTCTGCAGGAAGATCCTTTTTACTTCAGCAAGGTGATACACTAAATTTAGAAAGTAATATGTACCTAGCAGAGAGACTTGAGAGCTCTGTTAATTTGTCTATGGCAGTATACCTTCATGGAGTCAACTGATATTTAAACATTGGGGATGCGATGAAGATCCAGACAATTTAGTATTTTTAATTTAAAATACATTTACAAGGGCCAGCCAAATAGCTCAGCAGATTAAAGGACCTGCAAGCAGGTACAGGGGCCGGGGGTTCAATCGCCCTGTCCCCCAGTCACGTTGAGACTACAATTGTGGGCATGGTGGCACGCGCCTGTAATCCCAGCTCTTGGGAGGCTGTAAACAGGCAGATCACTATGAGTCCAATCTAGTAGTGAGACCCGGAACACCCTTTAGGCCCTTCCCTAAAATTAAAAAAAATAATAATAATACATTTAGAAATACTGAACATGTCACTAGTAACACTTGAGACAGTGTACTGATCAGACACAGAGTACCTCATGGTAGGATTAGTATACACAAAAATCGAATTCTGTTATTTTTCATATCTCTTAAAATGTTAAAATAATTTGAACAGAGTCCATGTCAAGCTGTATGAGATGACCAATGTATTATCATGTGGATATATATATATATACACATACATATATACAATTACATGTTTAGAATGATTATTTTGAATTTTAGATTTTCACTGCTGTCACCTATAAAATTTCATTCTTTTTCCTTTTTTCTTTTCTCTGTGTGTTTCCCTGTCTGTCTGTGTCTGTCTCTCTGTGTGTCTCTCCCTCTCTTTCATAGGGAGCTTCTCTCCTATTGATGCTGAAAACGTTCCTTAGTGAAGATGTTTTTCAGCACGCCATTATTCTTTACCTGCATAATCACAGCTATGGATCCATTCAGAGTGATGATCTGTGGGATAGTTTCAATGAGGTAAGTAAGCTGGGTACTTTCCTCAAGTCCTGTGTTTTTACTGAGAGGGCTCTTCTGTTTCTATTTTTATCACATACATTAATGAATCTAAGATACCAAGGGTAATTACTTGGAAAATATCTGGATGGAGCTTGTTACATAAATATTTGTGAACAGATGTGATCCCTGGCACCACGTACTACACTGGCCCCGCCCCTGGGGGTCAGAGTCTGGCATGGTGATGGACACCAGCTCTGGGGAGGCTGAAAGCAGGAGGATCACTATGAGTTTGAGCTGTGTAGTGAGACACTGTATCAAATAAATTTTTTAAAAAATTGTAAACAGTATACTAAATTTAAAGTCAGAAAATGAGAGTGCTGTTTCTCATTGTTGAAAACAGTGAAGCTACTAGTATTCTGTATCTTTATCATTTCTAACTAGTTAGAAAGGTATCTTCTCTGTGTTGATAGACGTTACTGTATCTTTGTAATTTGGCCCCTTGCCCGCATTCCTTTGGTTGTTGTTATTCTGACACATTTAGGTGCACAGCAAAATTTAGCCGAGAAGGAGCCAGCCCACGCGCCCCACACCACGCAAGCACCTGTTTTCCCATTCTTACCTTTTTCTACCATCCATTCTTGGTTCTGTACTGTTCCCTATGAATCGCTTGCCTTTTGAGTCCAGATTACCCTCTGCTATGTCGTGTTCTACGAGCTGACTGCCATGAGCTTCAGACTGCTCTTAGGTTACTTTGTTCTTTGGAATTTATCTTATCTATAGACATTTAGAACGTATTTCTTCCTCATTAACTCACTTTTTGCATCGTGTTATTGTTCCATCCAACCTGATCCTAACAGTAGCCTCACTATTTTCAGCATTCACATTAAATGATGCTCTGGCCTTTTCATTCAGTACTGTGTCAAACAACTAAAAGTACCTTGCTTTTCTTCCCACCCTCTGATCTAGAAGTAAATGTGTAAGCAGTATAAGAAATACGAAATTAATGTCACAGTTGAGAAAGAATTGCTCCATTCTTTTGTGCTTTAAATAAATGGGTGTACAATGACTTCATAAGGCCTGCCATAAGGATATGATGTTACAGATTTAGGCACATGACTTTTTAAAAATGTATATGTAATCACTAATACCAGATGCCTTGGGGAGAGTGGGCTTTAAGGGTCTATTAGCTTCTGGCACTGGATTCTAGCTTTTTCAAGTAAGTTCATGTATTTTCTAGGAAAGAAGATCTGTAGCTTCGAAGAAATTCTACCAGTATTCTCTAAAGACCTTTAAAGTCAAGGGAACTGACTGAGTCTTTTGCTAGTGCTGCCCCTGCACTCCCACAGGATTAAGTCTTTGAAGACAGATACATACAAGGCTAAGAATAGGGGAATAAAGAGAAACCTGGACTCAGCTGATTCACAGTGCTAAGAAGCAATGCTGTTCTAGAATATATTTTAGTCACATTCTCTGTATGGTAGCATTATGACCTGAAAGAATGCTTGTACCTTCTTCAAGCGTGCTCATCTTTTTTGGTTTTTTGAGATAGTCTCGCTCTGCATTTCAGGTTGGCCTTGAGCTCATTAAGTAGTACAGACTGACCTGCAACCCATGGTGATACACTTGCTCAACTTCCCAAGTTCTGGGGTTACAGGTGTGCACCCCCACACCCAGCTTCAAAGATGTATTAATCTAATTGCTATTGATATATATGCTGCTTCTCAATGTAATCTATCTCTCACTTGCATGGTTATCACTCTGTTCTGTTGCAGGTTACTTTTCATTTGGTGAGTTTTTCTCTTTACCTAGATTATAAATGTAAATTCAACTCAGCATTAATACCTTTTTAATGTTAACATTGAATGTAGTCTTTCTAAAACAAGCTGGAGAAAAGGTATGGATGGCATAAGTTTTTAAGCTGATGAAGGAGCTGGATCCTGGGCTGGGGAGGAATGACAGATGGTTCTGCAGAATGAAGGCTTAAATCTAAGATCATGGCAAAACATCTGAAGGTCATTTCCAGGACTGTGATGGTACAAGATGGGAACGTGGAAGGTGCACACAGGACACTAAACAGAATCCTCACAATGGATGGGCTCACTGAGGACCTTAAGCAATGAAGATAACTATGAAAAGCCTTGCCGCTGCTGACAGCAGGAAGGCTACACAACCTGCTGGAGGATCTACAGCATGGAAACAGCTCAAAAGATCAACTTCTTGATGAGAGAAAATCATCCAGATCCACGGCAGGGCTGCTGTAGCCTGCGGTTACGAGGCTCACACCCAGCCTATGTCTCCATGTCTTCCTCCTTGAAACTCATTTTGTTACCTTTGTAATAAACTCAGTCACATAAAAAAAAGAAAGGTTTTAAGCTAATTTTTTCTTTAAGCAAAAATTCTTATTCTTGTTTAACAGGTTACAAACAAAACATTAGATGTAAAGCAAATGATGAAAACCTGGACCCTACAGAAAGGATTTCCTTTAGTGACTGTTCACAGGAAAGGAATGGAACTTTCTATAAAACAAGAGAGATTTTTCTTAAATATGAAACCTGAAATGCAGCCTTCAGATGCAAGGTACATATACTGTACCTTCATTCCATGTTGTCTCTTTTATACCTTCAGCTTAAATATTTTTAGATGTTTTATAATCATAAGCCCATATAAAACCTAATCTTGTGAATAACTTTAAAAATTTCATTTTCATACTGAAATATTAGAGAACTAATCTTACATACTTTCTTTTGACAGCTACCTGTGGCATATTCCAATATCATATGTCACTGATGGAAAAAATTATTCAAAATATCGAGCAGTATCCTTACTGGACAAGAAATCAGGTTTGCCTGTAATTAACACATTTCTGATAAGAAATTGCAAACAGCATAATTTTTAAAATCAGACCAAAGGGCAGATAGTTGGTTCGGAGTATGTGGAAGGGCTTTTAGGAATAAGAAGTACATATAAAAACTTGTAAGGAATGTGCTGGCAGTCCTGGAAGAAAATGGTAAATGTTTATTTTTATGCCTTGGAGAAATAGTTCATCCTACAGTATTCAGAGTAAAGGAAGTAAAGCAGTTTCTTTAAAAGTGTTACCTGCAGCCTACTTTGTGGGAGTGGGCTGTTGCAGCTGTATCTTAGCCAAGCCTCCTAGACAATTCATGTGTATAACAAAGGTCAGTTCAAGGCCGAGATTTAGAGTAATTATATCCTGCAGACAGGACATGCATTTTTTGGTAATCAGAAAATGGGACAAGTGCTATCATAGAAAGGAAGAGTAAGATAATAAAACAGAGGGACCAAGATGAGTATCCCTACTCCGAAAATAGAAAATTAGAAATGTTTTGAGCTCTAGAACATTCAGAATGTTTCAGGTTTGGGAGCATTTTAAAATTTCAAAATTAGCATGCTCAGTAAAATCTATGAAAATACTTCAAACTCTAAAGAAAGAAAAAAAATTCTCAACACTTCTGGTCTCCAGTATTTCAGATGAGGGCTAGTCAGTCTGTGTGTACTGACCTACATGTAGTCTATAAAAAGCTATTGAGTGTAGCTTGTGACCATCTGTTAAATACCACTGATGTGCCACACTATGGATCCTCTTAATCTGTGCCCTAAAATAGCATAAGGCTCTTGAGTTCTGTAGAAATCATTAATGATGCTTTCAACTTATGTAAATGGGAAAAATTCTTACTTGAATTTGGATCTGGTGTTCAAGTGTGTAGTTTCGAGAGGTGAATGTAGGAACAAACTTTGAAGGCAAGTTGCCTTGTTCCCTTCTTGGCTCTATTGCTGATTACTTGCCCTATTGTAGATTAAGTTTTATGACCTCTCGGAGCCTCCTTCTCTCAGAAACAGAATGGAGATGGTGATGGAGTTGTGGTGGGGATCAGTGAGTTCATGCTTATGAAACTCCTGCCTTGTATGTGTTATGTACTGCTTAAATGCTATTTATTATTACAGATGTTACTGTCTTTTAAAAAACCTTTTCCATAGTATATCCACAGTACGTAAAATTTGGAAAATAAAAACAAATTTTATTATCATGCATAAATTACTCTCTAGTAGATTATTTCTTTCTAGTCAAAACTTACTTAGTTGTACTAATATAAGTGTGAATTTTACATCTTGTCTTTTTAAATAGAAGTTATGCAGGAATGACTTGGCTTGCCTTACTATTAGATACTTAATTCACCTTTTTTGTCTTTACTGAAAACATCCCAAGAAACATTTTGAATGTTAATTTTTTTTGTATGAACTTTTTATTGGCACTGCTTGTCAAACAATGAAGGCTGAGATACCATTTGTGATATGAGGCATGGAACTCAGTGGCCACTGCTTTGTGAGGTCACAATTGTCAGCCATCTGAAGTATATGAATGTGCCATTTCTATTGCAGTTACTGCAAACTGCATGGGAGTCTTACAGGAACAGTCACAACAGCAATCTTACTACTGAAAGCCTGAGGTGCAGTCAGTGATGTCATCCCCACTCTGACTACTGTAGCATGGCTGGGAGTCCAAGGAAGTGCTGTCTACCAAACTCTAAAACTTTGGGCTGGGGAGATAACTCAGCCGCATAAGTGCCTGCCTGACAAGCACAAGGTCCTGAGTTCAATTCCCAGTACCACAAAAAAATAAATAAATAAATAAATAAAACTTTAAGTGCACTTTAGGCCCAGGGAGAACATTCTTCTGAGGTTAAGGATAGTGGCTATATGAATTATTGTTGTAAACTTAGCACTCAGTAGACTCATAAAAATTTATTGAATGAATGAATGCTTATCTATAATGAAGTTACTCAATTGCAAATTGTCCACAAGAAAGCCTAAGAAAAGAACATTCAAATCCTGATGAAATACCCTATTTCCCTTCATTTGAAAAGATTCTTAGTAAACAGAAATATACAAAATGCCCTATGATATAATTGGTGGAACCAAGAACCGTAGGTGGACCAATAAATGATGGAAGCTGTGTCTCTTACTTCCTCTCAATGCCTTATTTTTTTTGCTGCTGCCACTGTTTTGATTTTTGCCAGTTCAAGTTTTGAGAGACCACACTGAAAATATCTTTTCATACAAAAATATATTTGACACTGAGAACAGTTGAATCATTTTGGTTTCTTATACTACAGTGAGAATCTTACTTTATTTGCATTTTTTCTCAGAAGGAATGTAGCAGGCTTATTTTATGACCTATGACTTTACTACAGCATATAATTTTAATAATTTTTTAAATCTGTAGTATATTTTCATATATCCTAATTTCAGGGATGCTGTGTTTGTCCACCACTTTTACAGTCTTATATGGGAGCTTAATTTGTCACTATCTTTGTCCCTTTTCTCCATATGCATGAATTTTGAAGTTATTTATTGTACATATAAAGAACGAGAAGGGGATACTTTTCATTACTCCATATTAAAGCAATTACAGCAAAACAATATTGTTCTCTTCTTTTTTCTCTCCTTCCGTCCTTACCAACATCTTATTCAAGCCTAAGGTCTTTAATTATAGGAGATACTTATTTTAAATCTAATAGGAAATATGCATGTTTCTGACAGCATATCACTGTTGCAGAAATATTTCACATCTCTGCTTTTTCCTATTTCCTCTCTACTAAAATAAAGAAGAAATGAAAGGCTATTAGAGAAGGAGTGCATTTCTACAAGGGGAATGTAGTTGGATTGTGTGTACCATACTAGCCCTCTGGAGCAAACTAGACATTAAATTTTGTAACTTTGTAGTAAAAACATTGGTTTTTTGTTTGTTTGTTTCAGTGTTTTAATGTTTCTTTGTGAAACAGTAGTTCATTTTCATAGTTCATTGACAATGGTTTTGGAAAAACACAACTAGATTACTTCATCTGAGTTTCTGCCATTTAGGATTAGAGCTCAGTTTTACTGCTCAATGGGCCATGAAAATTGAACTATTAATCTGTTAAGAATTATAGTTAAAAACATCAGTGTAGCCTCATCTACTTTTGAGCTCCAGGATGTAGTTATCTCCCTTGTGTACAAAGGTATTATTTTACATAGCTGTGATGTTAAGGTCCTACATTCTAGATCATTCAAAAGACCCAGAAAGAGACTAGTATGTTAATTCTTTAAATGATAACTCTTCTTTCTGTGCTGTTGCCTGCACTGCGTATGTTCTGTCAACTTGACAATAATAATTTCAGATATACTCCCTGCTGTGTTCTTCTTCCCTGCCATCTGGACTTGGCTTTACAGCATGGCAACTTGCTGATCAGCCAGGGAGATCAGTACTTTCTGATTTCTGCCTCATCTGGTCAGAGAGTTGTCATGCTTACCATTTTTGTCGCTTTTTTGGGGCAGTGAAAATTTAGGGTCTACAGACTTCTTTCCAAGGCCTTTTCTTGGAAAAAGCTGTATGGAAGATTGTGCTTGGTGACCTGGAGAATGTTGATTTTTTTTTTTATTAGTTTATAGTAAAGTTAATTTCATTAATGATAAAGTTTGTTAAAACTGGCTGTAAATTGAAGTAGGCATAGTTGCCACAACAAATACTCCTTGGAACAGTATTCTGCTCTGGAAAAAGGAATAAACGTGTTGAAATGATCTTTCCTGTCTGATGCTATATCAGCAGTACAACATAATTTAGCATGGAATTTTTAAAATAAAAATGACTACCAAATTGATATAGCCTGTTAAGATGTGGTCAGAAGGCCTTTTCAGTCTTAAATATCTTTTGTGGTATTAATAGAATTGAGTCTCAAAGATATTAAGAGTCTGATAAATTTCAATATTTCGTGCTTTCGAAGTTGTTAAACCCTAAAGCTTCAGGTACTGATGTATAACTCAAGTTTAACCTGTGATTCTAAGCCAGAAAAAAATTTTGCTGCAGAAATAATATGATAGTAAAAAATATTAAAACAATCTAAGTGTTTCAGTTAAGGGAAAACTTGACAAGTCTTCAAAATACACATTGTCTCAGTTTAGATTATTTTGCTAATCTCTCGTCTTCTTAATTTAAAAAATTTTAAAAGTATTCATTAGATACAGGAACAAAATTACATCATAATGCCCTACAGCCTGTTCGGATCTAATCTGAAGCTATGTAGTATGATATAGTAATTATATTTTCATTCATTCATTCAATATATGTTTTTAATAGCCTTTAACTACAGTCAAATACCAGTTCTCAGCATTTATATACATAATGACAGGGACCGAAAAGCACATATTACTCTTCTGCTAACTCAGTTTTTATATACTTGTGCCTAATGAAACTGTAAGCTTTTTCTTTATTTTGCTAGTCCTATTTTGAATTATGTGACTTTTCTATTTGGCTCTGTCGGCTTTTTTGCTAACATAACAGAAGACAGACTGAGATGTAAGACATTTTATATAGATCTCTTATTGTCATTGCACCACACACACACACACACACACACACACACACACACACACACACTGTCCTCTCTACACGGTTTCCCTCAATGATTGGATGCCAGGTACAATTTCTCTCTTGGCCTTAAATACTTAGGTCCCCCCTGCCAACCCTTTTCACCAAGCTAATACCTTTACTGTATTCTGAAGTTGCTTAGAAGAATGACAAGATAGATGTCATTTCTTTGAAGAAACTTCTCTTGACCTTTCCTACTAGGTGAAACATTTCTTATGTGTATTGCCACTAGATGTTGTATTTGTTTTCCATCAATAGCATTTGTATGATAATGTACTTATATAGTAGAGGTGACTCTATGGGATACATCCCACAGTTGTGGTCACTGAGTGCCATCACTCCTTTAGATCATAAAAGCAGAGACATAACTTCCCTTTTTTACCATCTGCTCCCCAGTGCTTAGTACAGACCCAATAGCGCACAGAAAATAAATCTTGAATAAGTGGTGATCTTAATTTTTGTGAAAATAGGTGTATAAGATAGCAGATATTTAGCTTCTTACTAGAATGATTAAGTATATGTCATGAAACGAAGAAATTGCTCATTTAATATTTTTTCTTGCCTGACCATTCTGTTAAACGTTCATTTATGCCCTGCCTTAGGTATCATCAATCTTACAGAACAAGTGCAGTGGGTCAAAGTCAACGCAAACATGACTGGCTACTACATTGTGCACTATGGAGATGATGACTGGGCTGCACTTATCAAACAGCTGAAGAGAAACCCTTATGTTCTGAGTGACAAAGACCGAGCCAGCCTCATTAACAACATCTTTGAGCTTGCAGGGTAGCGTATTTTTGGTTTGGGTTGTGTAGTTTTGTTTTATTTTTAATCAAGTGTTATTGATATAAAGAGCATTTCAGAAAAAGTTTGAAAGAACTAGTTTGTATAGACTGTTAGGTACAGTTCATTTGGAATGGTTAAGAAGATATAAGACATGCCTTTTGCTTTCAGGGACTTTAGAAATGTCAGCTTCCTGTGGTGGTGCACACCTGTAATCCCAGCCTCTGGGAGGCAAAGGCAGGAGAATCACTGCAAGTTTGAGGTCAGCCTGGACTACATAGTGAGCTCAAGGACAGCCTGAACTACATAGAGAGACCCTGTCTCAAAAAGACCAAAAACAAAAAAAGAAGGGGAGGTAGAGGAAATATATGCTACAAATATGTTGAACAGTTAAATAACAAAATAGGCAGGAGTGCGTAGTTTGCTGAATTACATTACTTACAACTTCAAGCATCTTTTTTGTTTTGTGAGAGAGTTCTTTTCAAGCTGCAGTTGGCAACCATGTGGAACTCAGTGCTTACTGGCTGGTTTGACCCACATCTCTGATGGCTGGAGCCTCTTTATCTGTATACTATTTGTCTTCCCAACCACTGCACATGTTACAGAATCAGAAAGCCAAGAGGGTTGTTGCCGCTTATAAAGACATCCTCTGACCAGATTACCAGCTTAGGTTGATGGTAGACCTGGAGGAGCACTCAAAAGGATTCCCTGTGACCTCTCTTGACCTTCTCATTTTGGTTCATTTATTGTGAAATAGCCTTTATAATTTACCATCACTGTTATTCCAACAAAATGATTAATTTTTCAGGTGTACTCACTGTAAATTCACAATGGACCTTGCCTTTAATAAGTTTGACAAATAAAACTTTTTTCTGATTCAAATACTCTGTACCATTCCTTCTCTCAATTTAATAATCAGATGCAATAATTTTACCACATGAAGCAATTTACAAAAGACTTATGGAACAAAAAAACTGTCAGGTATCTTTCTCTTGAAGTGCGCCTTTGACGTTGGCCCCCCTGAACTCATGGGTAATAAATAGCAGTGGACAGCTAAGTTTAAATGCTTTATCGTTAAGACTCGCCATCTAGCTACCCCATCTGCAGCATGTGTGGAGTGTTTCTGTGCGTCTCAGCTTATTCTCGTTTCCTGTTTTTCTCTTAGCCTAGGCAAGGTGCCTCTTCAGAGGGCCTTTGATTTGATTGATTATCTTAGAAATGAGAACCATGCTGCGCCCATCACTGAAGCCCTGTTCCAGACAGGACTCATCTTTCACCTCCTTGAAAAACTGGGGCACATGGATCTGGCCTCAAAACTGGTGGTAAGTCTGCCTTTTCACCAGTTTATCTTGCTATCTGTCTTTAATATTGTTATTCATAATTCATTCAGAGGGCTGAGAAAGTACTTAAATTCCATTTTCTTTACTTTGTTGATTGTGAGATCTTTACTTTGAATTAAAATGTCACTGCTTGCCATGAAGAGTTGACAAAGGCTTAGAAGAAGGTAGTCTTACTTGAATATCCGCTACAGACTTTTGATACTGCTGTCAAAGTAGGGCACATGAAAAGCAATTTCTCTATTTTAATTCTTCTTTTCTGTAATGAATGATTTATATAGGGCCATTTGTGAAGTCAGTATCCCCATTAATTTGCTAGTGGTCATTATAAAATGCCAGTTAGGTTTGCACCAAGAACATCCTACATACAAGTCTGACTGACTACTCTCCAGTGGGTAGTGATGTTGCGGGAAAGAAAATCTCAGCAAGTACTAAAGGAGCCTTGTTGGACACTTCTTCTTTCCTAGGTCTGATCTCCTGATCTTAGCAGGTGTTATGTAGCTGCTTTCAGTGTTAAACTATTTATTGAGTCGTTAAAGCTAGAAAGGAAATAATAAATTTTTTTAACTAATTCTCTGACTCAGCATATTCTAACAACAGGACTTAACTTTTAAAATCAGATTTTTCAGGGATCCAGGTAAAAGGCAGCGTTTAGGAAAAAGACAAGTTTTGGAATAGAAGTTAGAGTAAGTTTCAGGGTTTTGGTATCTTTACTGGTAAAGGCAAGGGTTGGATTAATCTTTTTTTTTTTTTTTTTTTTTTTTTTTTTTTTTTTTCAGAACTGGGGATTGAACTCAGGTCCTTGCACTTGCCAGGCAAGTGCTTATTCTACTGAGCTATCTCCCCAGCCCCTAGATTAATCATTTTTTTAAAAAAATCTTTTTCTGCCATTATTGTTGACCTATGCACACCTCCTGTGATGATTTCTCTGTCATTTTCAGAGCAGAAGAAGCGCAGGGCAGAGGGGTCGAGTGCATGATGAGAAGCACCCCCTCCACCCACGCTTCTGTTGACTCTGAAGGAGGCTCCCACCCCACCCGTGCTTAAGATGGTCTCTGAGGCCTCTTCTGATGAGAAGCTTTTTACTGTTCTCTGTTTCACAAGTCTCATGGCCTTAAGAGGAACCCGAACCTGTAACATAACCCGGCTCACAATAACCTTCTGCCAATGTGAAATATACCAGAGACAAATACTCTTCACCCTCTGCCTAGTGTTTGATGGAGGTGACCTCATTTATTCCTTACTTGTTGCCACAGTAGACATTTATACCCTACTAGGTAAATAAGGACACTAAGAAATTTCCCCCAAAGTCACTTACCTTTTAAATTAAAAAATTGAGGTTCAAATCCAGATTAGTTTCCCTGCAGAGCCTAATCTTTGTAATGTGTTGCTCTATCTTAAATTAATTGTATTGCAGCAATGATATTTCTCCAAGATACTTTTTGTTAGAAAAATTAAACCTTTCCTTCTTGCAACCATTTTTTTTAAAAACTGAGATTTTACATTAAAGCAGTTTGAAAAGTTTGTAGGCCCTAGATTTAAGATTTAAAAGAACAAACGTCTATTTAATTCTTTATTTGAAAATGAGTTCATCAACTAGTAAGTTTTTTATATCTAAAATGTTACAGTATAAAATACTATTTTTAAAAATTTTTGTGTATATTAGTAAAAAAAATATGCAGATTATATCTTTTTAAGGCAAACTTAGGCTCTATCATAGACTTTCTCTTGCTGGTATGTAAGAAGATTAGATATTTGTTAACCACCTCCACTGCTGTTGGTGGGTCATAAGAGGGCTTTCGAGTTCTGGAGTTATAATAAATAACACCATTATGAAAATTCTTATATATGAATATGTATATGAAATGCATCTGGAAGTGGAATTCTTGCTGTATAACATGCATAGTCAGTACTGTACTATCAAATGATTTTTCATAGTTACACCAGTTTACATTTTGATTATCAATATATACAGTTGAGGTGTGCTGTATCCTGGCCATGGCTTACTATTTTTACAAAGTTCTCTACTCTTTTATTTTCCTATTAAACTGCCTATTTTTTTCCTACTGATTTTAACAGGTTTTTTTTAATATATTCTAGATAAAAAATTTTTTGTTGATTATGTTTATTTGCAAAGAGCTTTTCACTATTTTTAAGTTGTTTTTTTCTTTCTGGTACCAGGGATCAAACCCAGGGCCTATTGCTTGTGAGGCAAGTGCTTATGCTGCTGAACGATCTCCCTGGCTTAGTAATTATTTTTTTCCCATAATTTTATAGATAAATAGCAATGAGACAGTTTCAAATCAAATTTGTAGGACAATTTCAATAATTAACACATTGCATACATTATTCCTAGTGGTTAATTACTGTATAAGATGCGGACATGATACTCTATTTACAAACGCCATTAGAACAAATCACTGTATTCATTAAGAGAATGTAACTATATATCTATCCTAACCACTTTGAATACACAGATACAAAATGGACATTCATCTATATCCCCTCTTTTTGTTAAGTTCCATTACTTGAACAATATAGGTGTGTAAACTCAGCAAAATATTCTAAAAGAGTCCAGTAGCCCATAATAGTATTCGGTCTTCCGCTTCACTGGCAATGTTAGAGCTTGTTGACCTGAGTCCCCTACAGCTCAACATAACAGCATGGCTTACTTTTTATATTTCGTTTTTATACTTTTCTGCTGGATGGTTAAGACCAAGGTAAAGCAGGACCTGTACAACAACAAGAGTTGTAGCTTTTGGGTCTGAGAAGGTCAGTGAAATGCCCTCAGGATTTAGCCTGAGATCCTGTACCTCAGATTGTAGAACCTTTGTCAGTGTCACCCATGTGGATGAGTTACGGCCATTGCTTGGCCAGTGTGCTCTCTGTGAAAGCCTGAGAGAGTGTTTTCTCTCCATGTGACTCTACTTAGGCACACTCTACATCATCGATCACTTTCCTCTTTGGCCCAATAATCTCCTTGATCAGAAAATTTGGGACACTACCGAGGTACATGACGTTACAGTACAGGTTCTCATATGTCCTGAATCTTAATTGACCTTGGAAGACTAGGGCCAAAATGTTGGCTATCCTTGCGGTCCTCCTTTTTCTCTAATTTTGGTCTGCAAACTTAGGTTGTTAACCCTCCAGAAGACAAGCTTATTGTTATTACCATACAACTTAGGCTGTTAAGCTTAACCTCACTATCTGTCTGCTTATCAAACATCTTAGGCATA